AAAGAAAATTGCTTGCCCACCTTTTCTCTTTTTCTACCTTCTAGTAGGATGTAATGCAGATGAGATTAGTCAGCTTTGCTCATGTGTTGTTGTTAGGTGCCATCAAGTCATCGCCGACTCATAGCAACCCCATACAAAGCAGAACAAAACACTTCCCAGTCCTGTGCCAGTCTCATGATAGCTATACCTGAGCCCATGGTTGCAGCCACTGTGTCAATCCATCTTGTTGAGGGCCTTCCCCTTCTTTGCTGACCCTCTCCTTTATCAAGCATAATATCCTTCTCCAGGGAATGGTTCCTCCTGACAACACGACCAAAGTAGGTGAGATGAAGTCTGGCCATTCTCGCTTCCAAGGAACATTCATTCCATCTGCACTTCTTCCAGGACAGATCTGTTAATCCTTTTAGCAGCCCCTAGTATTAGCATTCTTCTCCAACACCACAACTCAAAAGCATCAGCTCTTCTTTGGTCTTCCTTATTCATTGTCCAGCTCTCACTCATGTAGATGAACACAATGTAACAGGGAATGGCAGAGCAACAAGGTAGAAGGAGAGAAACTCCTCAGAAAATTGAGCAGAGCTATCTACATACATACATGCCATCTACACAGCTGTAATATATCTGGACTGTGACATGAGAAAGCAATAAATATTTCCCCCTTTTATGAGCGGTTGTGTTTTTTGGTTTCTCTGTCACAACAGCTTAGTCTATACTCTAGCTAATACATAAAGGAGCTCTGGTAGCATAATGCCTGAGGCATTTGACTGCTAAATGACAACTAAACCTTGTGAGGCATGGTGTAATTTATCATGGCCATGTGGTTCAAACCCACCAATCACTCTTTGGAAGGAAGGTTGGGCAATCTACTTCTGTAGTGATACCACCTCAGAAACCCAAGGTGGGGTCGCTATGACTCGATGGCAGTGTGTTTAGTTTTTTTTTAATACATAATGGTGGATATTTTCTTAGTGCCGACTCTGAGTCAGGAACTACACTAAGTGCTGAATATGTATTATATCATTTAACTCTTCAGTGACCTTCCTAAAATAGATACTACTTGCCCATTTTACAGATGTTCAAGTGAGATGAGCTGTCTTGCCCAAGACACTTGGGTGTAGTTGGTGGAAAGGACTTGAACTCTGAAGTGCTTCAAAAACACATTTTTAATACAGTGCCCTAGACTCTCTTAGTGTTACTATTCACTCTTTTCCTAATGAGAATATTCAGTGTTTTCTCTACCTCTTTAAAGTTTCAGTTTCATACCCATTTCCTCTCTGGATTCCTGCTCAGCTTGGTTTGGTATAGAGTGAATGTTTTGCCTTGCATTTTATTTTTGGAATTATTCTTTGGTTTTGAATAGGTTCATTTTGCCTTGTTCGTTGTTGTTGTTGTTATGTGCCGTCGAGTGGGACCCGACTCACAGTGACCCCTCCTTGGGTTTCTGAGGCAGTATTACTATGGAAGTAGATTGCCCCATTTTTCTTCCAAGGAGTGGCTGGTGGTTTTGAACCACCAGCCTTCTGGTTAGCAGTCAAGTGCCTTAGCCACTATGCTACCAGATTGTAAATACCACAAAGCTTGGTGCTAGTGACACAAATGCTTCATAAGTGCCAATTACTTGTGTGAGGTGTAGAATTACCTTGAGAAACCCATTTGGCCTTTGGTCTTACTTTCTGAAAGTTGGACCACCACAGGGCCCAATGATGACTAAAGCTTGTGAGGCATGATGTAATCTATCATGGCCATGTGGTGAGGCCAATAAAGACTTTGAAGATGGATGCTCAGGGAGTTTCTTGGATGGAGACCATGTATGGAAGGCATAGCACTTCTCTCTGGGACATGGAAGCTCTGTGTTATAATCCTCCCAGACCTTGCCCTATGCATCCCTTTGTTTGTGTCTTTTCTTGTTAATTGATGCTATTACCGCAGATACAGTGTTTTCCATAAGCTCTATGAGTCATTCCAGTGAATTATAGGACCCAGCATAGTGGGGATTTTCTGGTCTAAAGTAGAGGGAATCAGGTAGACTGATTTCTACCTGATATCCTAGGCTGGTACCCTAAGCAGGTAAAGGAAAACTCCAAATTTTGAGCTTGCTGAATTGAAGTGGAGAGAGAATAGAGAGTCACATGGACTTTTGAGCTTATAGCTAGTACCCACTAACCTAGCTCCAGGTCACTAGGGAGAAAGAACGTTCAATGAGATATAATGGAAGTTTGTTTAGCGAAGATTTTGGGAAAAGTTTTTAAAAGTGAACAGCAAATGCAGGTCTTTTGCTCTCTCCTCATCATATATCCTACAATTTTGACATGATGACTGTCTTTACAGAAGCTGATAGTTACTATGAGGGAAGCTTTAGAATGGAAATCATTTGGGAGGCTTTAGAAGGAAAAAGTTAGAAAGGTCTTGGAATTCCAATAACTAAAAAGCCACCTTTATCAGTAAAAGTTATTCACCTCTTTCAGGTTAGAAAAAATAATATATCTTATTTAAGACATATTTTGGATTTGCTTTCATTGTGCAGCAAACTCATACATGGTAGAATGATTGTGAATGTAACATTTCACTGAAGCACAATCTTGAACATTTTAAATCCTACCTGCTTATATTTGTAGTGATAACTAGAATGAGCATTCTTCTTTATTTAAAATAATCTTTTCAAAAATGTGAAACAAAATTCAAAAACGCAAAAATGACCAGAATTGCTGGTTGAATAGAAACTGGTGGAACCCTGAGACTAAGGCCCTAGGTTGTCCTTTGGGCCTAGAAATGGACTCATTTCTGTGGATTGGCTCTCAGCCCAAGAGTAAAAAGACCTACATGTGGAACACCTACCCCAGAGAGATGCACCCACCTATGCTAGGGAGATGCACCCCTTAGAGCAATCAGCCATGAGACATTGGAGGGGCAGCATTCATGTAGAGGGAAAGCCAGACAGGCAGGAATGCACAAATAAGAAGGACACAGGGAGAGGGTAGTCAAAGGGAGGAGGGGAAGAGAGTTTTTTATGGTTGGGGATTGTAATTGGGCCATGAAATTAAATGTGCATGAGCTGTTGAATGTAAAACAAATTTGCTTTGTAAATTTATACCCAAAACACAATTAAAAAAAAGAAAATGCCTTTTCAGTTGTTTCCTCTGTTCACATATGCTGCTACCATGAAAAATGGGAATGGTTTTCACAAAGATAGATTAATCATAGAATTTAAACACCCTTCAGAAGAAAAATCACATTAAAAAATATCGAGTCTTTCTGGAAGATGAGACAGCACCTACCCCTCTAGATGTATTGAGCTGACCAGTCCAGGTAGACTAAGATCACCCATTTCTGACAACAAATTGTGTGGTGGATAACAAATCCCACTCTTTATGGCAACAGTATCCTGTGAAAATCTCACCTTCCCTTCCCTGTTCATTTCAGACCCCAACTGCCCATGTAGTCTGAAGGGGACACAGGCTTTGCGAGGCTGCACACGGTCACCCTTTGCTTTTTGCTAGCTCACTTCCATTTGCTAAGTCATTTTTACATAACTTTTGCTATAGTGGGCTTGTAAGTCCAAAGTCCTGGCATGTAGCCGCTTTTGTTCACCATCGCTATAAAACCCCTGCCTCCCGGGGGACGTGGTACAGAGAGTTGCCTCAGTGTACCATTACCCAGAACCTGCCTTGTATGTAAATCTTCCTAAGAAACTCCTTTGCCATCACCCTGGAATTGCCTGCTTCTTTCATGGCACCCTCTATAGTTAGAGGCAAATTTCGAGTTACTGATCCATACAGTGACACAGTCCTTCTTCCTACCACCTGGGCTGACTCTCTCTCCTCTTCAGAACAGCCAGCCCCAACTTCGGAATTTTTGTTTTTAACTAAGAAAGAAGGGGGGTGGGAATCAATGTGGGTAGATTACCTTGTCTTTTAATTAGAAAATTTCTATCCCTCTAAATCAGGAATTGGCAAACTGTGCCCACTGGCCAAATCTGGCCTGCAACCTTTTTATTTTGTAAATAAATTTTATTGGGACAAAGCCACACCCATTCAATTACATGTTGCCTGTAGCTGATTTCATGCTACAATAGTGGAGCAGAGTAGTTATTACAGAATTGTATGGTTTACAAAGCTAAACTCTTTATTTTCTGGCCCTTTAAAGAAAAACATTGCCAATACCTGTTCTAGATCACTTAGAACAGCTTCTGATGAATGGCTTCATTCCTTGTGATACGTTTATAGAGCAGGATTGAGTTTGGTATAGATTCAGTGAAAATCCATTCTTGAGTGTCAGTGAAGATGTATCTGTTAGGCATGTATTTGACTGCAAGTAACATAAAACTTGACTAATGGTGGGGTTTTTTTTTATAGTAACAATTGTAAGGATGGTGCAGGGTAATGTTTTCGTTTTGTTGTGCATGGGGTTGCTACAAGTTGCAGCCAACTCCATGGCAACTAAACAATAACAATGGTGAATTTTTAAAAAGGAGGTTTATTTTTTCACATACAAAGAAGTCCAGAAGTCCATGTGCCAGATGCTCAATGATGCCTTTAAGAGTGGGCTCTTTCTTTCTCCCCAGCCACACCCAGAAGGTTGTCTTACTTCTCTATGCATATCATAAGATGGCTATAACACCTAAAGGCATTCTTTTGCATTCCCCGCGGGAGGAGGGGAAGATATAAAAGGTCAAAGGGGCATGATTCTGTCCCTTTCCAGGAATTCCTCATTACCCAGAACTATGTCTCATGGTCACCTCTAGCAGCAGAGGATTCTGAGGTGATGAGACTATTAAGTGGGACACATTACTTAAGTGAGGATGTTACTTGGGCACATTACTGGGGTGAACAAAGGGCAGCAATAGCATTGTGTGCTATAGAAGGCTCCTCCCAGTTAACTTGGCCCTTTTAAATGTTCTTACACTTTCACCCTTCATTCCTACTGTTCCTCTCTGCTCCTCCTTGTCACTGTGTCTGAAATAAAGCCTCTTCTTTGCACGTCTCTTTTATATTTTTGGCTAGGTGAGAAACCTGGAAATGAGCCTGAAGAGGTGAAGCTTCAGAATGCCAGCAAACAGATTGTGCAGAATGCCATCCTGCAAGCTGTGCAGCAAGTCTCCCAGGAGAGTCGGCAGAAGGAAGAGCAAGCCAGGAACGACCAGGGCAGCTTCCAGCTGGGAGTGGGGAAATTAACCAAGAAGTATGAGAAGAAGTAACTTTGTGGATTTGGTTCTTGTCATATGCTTGGTTTCCAGCTTTCCTCTTAGCATAGGATGCGTCTCCAAAATGTTGCCAGTAAAGCAAACCAAAATGTCATTGGCGCCTAGCAGTAGAATGAATCTACACTAGCCCTTGGCTGAGAAGTGCTGTTTTGAAAAGTGCTTTAGATGATTCTGTTTATATTTATGCAGTGCCTCTTAAACATAGAGGGGCCAAACATGATACCATAATTATAAAGGTAGTTTTGCAGTGCAATTTTTTTAAAAGGATTAATGTTTATTTACTTTAGCCTTTTGTGCATTGTGTGTGTGTGTATGTGTGTATTTAACAAGCAGCCTTTTTTTTTTTCTGAAATACTGAGGACAGTACTGTGTTCTTTATAATATTTTTAAAAGAATGCCAGAGAGATGAAAGAATGGAGTTTTGGAATTGAATGTTTTTATACAATGCACTCAGGTTCAAGGTCAAATTAAGCAAAAGCAAATTCCAAGATTAAGCGTCTCAGCATCTCAATAAAGCATATATTTATATAACTTTAAAAAAAGAAGTTTAGGCTTTTTAAGAACAATTGTAATTCTCTGAATTGATTGGTAGTTGGTGTTTACCCTCTGTGCAGAAATCCTTTGAGAATATTATGGATTTCCTTAACTATCTCAAGAGTAATATAAGACAAGTCAGTCTATATGCATGAGTTGCCAAGGACTCGATCCTTTGGCAGCCCCACGAGGAAGAGCTAGGGTTATGGATTTCTTTAATGGTGGTCACCCTGGGGGAAATACTCTAGGATCGGATTAGGGAGTGTGACATCACTGACAGGAGCTCTGGGGCCCTATTAATGCTACGCTTTCATCAGGCTATGCATTTGCACAAATATCTGACTAGTAGAAACCATCTTTCCCCATCCACAAATAAGAAATTGTTTGTTTGTTTGTTTTTAAATTATGAAGTTATACACATCAGGAATGAATTATACTTGTTGTTGTTATGTGCTGTCAAGTCAGACCTCCCTGAGTTATACTTAAGATGGAAAAATAATTTTTTTCAACTCTCTGAAGCATGAAAATACAGTGGGAACATACAATGACAGTTCTGTATGTAGTCACTGAGATGTGTGTATGGGTATGAATAAAGGCATTTCTATTAGAACAGAAACGCTTCCTGCTCTGCTCCCATATGGATAATGCACATCTTTCTGGAGTCTATGTAGAGTCCCATTTACTGAACTTCACAACAGTTATCAAGTTGGTGCTACTGAGAGAAAGGAAAAATTTGACCATTGCTTTAAACTTTTTGTTTCAGAGTATCAATGTCTACGTTTGATAGTTTAAAAAGCAAAGAGTTAGCATATAAAATGTAACTGATATTAGGATATGCATCTAAACTTCCCATGTGTCCTTGACCAGAATGGGTAGGTTGATAACAGTAGACACATGAAAACAATCCTTTATCAGCTTTGTTAGACTAGCCTACACAGTGTGGAGGTGGAATAAATTTATGGGAGATGAATAGGGAACGGAGCAGAGGGGATTAGAATTTAAATATGATTTGTTCGGAATTCTTTTTAGCAGAACTTATGACAATTTAAGAAAGAGTTGAAATTGGCCTAAAATAAGATGCGTGATACAATTGCACAACATAGATAGTGAGCATGGAGGCATGAGGGAAAATTATTCAGGAGTGTATACATGCACACAAAAATAAACAAACCCAATGCTTGTACTTTGCAAACTGACCAGACACTCTGTCTACTAAGATGTCTGCATATAACTTGCCTCTGTTTTTGCTGTCATATGGCAAAAATATAAATGTACTATCTTTCCTCTGTGATGTTTCTGTGTTAATATGTTGGAGATGTTTAGGAACATCTTATTAATCTCTATATCTAAATGTTATTTATAAATAAAATATCCAGCTTTGAAATAAGTATGTTGTCATTTTAAGCAAACTCTTCTGTTTCCTTCTATTTGAGCTCATATTATATGTAGTGCTATGAGTCTTTCAAAGCCTGTTTTCTGAACTGCTAGCTCTCATGGCCAGGAGTGCTTCTTTAAAGGACCCTCACTGTACCTGTTTGAAGGCAGCTGAAGGCTGGTGCTTTTCAAGGCTTGAATGGAAAAGGACATATGCTAAAAGTGGCCTTTTGATCTCAGGAAATAAAGGTGACTACATCTGGAAGATTGAGTGCCTTTTATAATCTTTCTCAGATGGAAATCTATAGCAAGGAATAGAAATACTAAAAATGCTTGGAAGGATACAAGAAATTAAACAAGCCCTGCACTCAAGAAGTAGGCACTGTATCAGTGCAATCATAAGAAAGCTCAGTGATAAAAATAAATGCATCTGTTAAACTCTGATTTGATGATTAACCAGAAGGCTGGTGGTTCAAACTCACCAGCCACTCCTCGGAAGGAAGGTTGGGCAATCTACTTCCGTGGTGATACCACCTTGGAAACCCAAGGAGGGGTCATTATGAGTCAGGTCTGACTCAATGGCACATAACAACAAATAATAACAGTATAGAGATATAGTTACTGGATTTTAAAGAGGCCTACTGAAGCTTATTTGGATAGGACAAAGTAGGTTGCCATTTGGTTATTGTCGTAAGCTAGTACATAATTCTTAGTTTCAAGAATAACCAGGAACTTTTAGTTACTGTCCTTTGTCTTCTTGACTTACTACATGGTAAACATACAGGTAGGAGTCCTAGTAGTACAGTGGCTAAGCTCTTGGCTGCTAACTGAAAGGTCAATGGTTTGAATCTATCAGCCACTCTGCAGAAAAATGGTGAGGCATTCTGCTTCCGTAGAGAGTATGGCCTTGGAAACCAGATGAAGCAGTTCTACTCTGTTCTACAGGGTCACTATGAGCCATAATCAACTTGATGACAACAGATTTTTTTATTGTTGTTAAAGCATACATGGGTCTACCAGTTCTGTATGTTCAGCTGTTCCTTTTTTACTTTGCCTGTCTCTAGGGTAGAACGAAAGAAATCCTGTATGTTACTTTGGATTTCTATAATCATCTCTCCAGTGCAAGCACTATTGTAAATAGATATTAAACAGCTTACTGGTTCCTGAGTGTCATCCTCTTTTTTTTTTTTTTTCCCTTTTCTCTTTCTTCTTTTTAGCTACATAATCTTTGTTTTTGGTGGATTTTCTTATGGTGGAATTTTGGGTTACAAATAAATGAATCAATCATTTAAAAATAATCATTGACTTGTGTGATGTTTAGTAATGGATAACTGGCGATTCCTAGACAGTTTTAAGGTCTCTGAACAAACAATACAAAAAAGAAATTTTACATTTATCTGCTGTAACAGCTTGAGTAAAATACAGAAGGGAATGAAATCTCTGAGAAATCTGGTAAAGCAGTCCCTGGGTTGTGAATGAGACCTTTCCTAAATGTTTCTTTAAGTCATATTTGTAGTTAAGTCTGAATAGGTGCGTACAGTTCTAAAGCATTTGGTTACAAAGCAAAGGTCAGCGGTCCAACCTCACAGCTACTCTGTGGGAGGAGGATAAGGCAGTCTGCTTCCATAAAGATTTACAGCCTTGGAAACCTATGGGGTGGTTCTACCTTATCTTACAGAGCTGCTATGAATTGGAATTAACTTAATGGCAATAGGTTTGATTTCTTAGGTTTTAGGTTAAGAAAAGGCTCAAAGCCTTTTCAATGACTTAAAAGCTGCATGTGCAACAAGTGAAGGTGCTTGTGATAAGGAATGTGTTGTGAGCAGGGGTTGTTGGTTCAAGAGTTTCAAAGGGAGGGCAAATTTATATACCATTAAAGGGCAAGTTAGAGTTGTCCTTAAGTCAGACATTCATAACTGGGGATTGCCTGTATCTAGTTTGGCAATTATAAACAAAATGAAACAAAACAAAAACCTCTGCCGTTGAGTCGGATATGACTCATAGCGACCCCACCTTGGGTTTCCGAGGTGGTATCACTATGGAAGTAGATTGCCCAACCTTCCTTCTGAGGATTGGCTGGGAGGGTGGTGTGTTTGAGAAGTCAAAGGCCTCAGAAAAGCAGAAAGACTAAATACTTAAGCAATTCTTCATGTAAGAAGAAAGTGGAAACTACAATGTCTTCCCTCTGTCAAATGTGAAAAAGTTTTCTGAAATATGTTAGTGTATAGTATCTCATTACCACAATCTCATGATAAGGGATGGCCAGGGCAGATCTTGTTTTCTTTCTGCAGAGAGTCACACTGAGTCTCAGGTTAAGAAAATATCAATCAGGTGGTGAAAAGCACATACGTACTCTTCGGCACTAGGATACGTGAATCTCCTAGCTCACACTTTGTGAATGTATTAGAATTAGCTAGGGAGCTTGAGTATACAAACTCTAGGGATAACTCAGGAAAACCAAGTTAACAGTTTAAAGCTGCCTTCCAGAATTTCCTTTTTGAATACGTAAGAAATTTAACAAAAATAGTAAAAGACAAGCAAAAATATCCATCAATAGAAAAAGCTCAATGCCATTAACCTTAAAAGGTGATAGCTAAGGAAAGAGACAGAAAACAAAGTAGAAACTCATAATAGAACAAGTCCACTTGTTTTCTCCCCACTCTTCAGAAGCCATACTGGCAAGAATAAAAAGTCCTCATCAGGTATGGAGAGACAGGAAATGGGATGGGTGATGTTATCTTTTAACTTCTGACTACAGTTGTAGGAAGAAGTAGGTGAAATATGAGAAGGGAGAAGGGACTCTTCTCAGATGGAAATGAGAACCCATCTTTCAGAAATGAAAGAAATTTTTTAAAAAACGTATATCCCCCCCAAAAAATTTCTTATCATATGCCTTCCAAATGTGGTTAGACAAAAAATACTTAGCACCAATACTTTAGGATAAAGGAACATTTGTAGGCTAAGAAAGCCAATTGTCTACAAAGAAAAATTTTCCAACTGGCATCAGTCTACTTCATAGAATTATTCATTTCCAACAAATAAAAGAAAAAAGGCTATCAAGTAACTCTGAAAGAAGAAAAGTGTGA